TCATTGTCATTGTCATTGTCATTGTCATTGTCATTGTCATTGTCATTGTCATTTTCATTAGGAATAGCATCATCCTTGCAAGAGAATGAACTAGACTGAAGCCTATATTCCTTAAATACTATCTTTTCATTACTTAATCCATATTTCTTTGCAATATCGCGAATTTTCTTAATCAATTGTTTATAAGTTTACAGGAATTACTAAAATGTTTCTTTTCCTAGTATTACTTACCGACTAACACCAATTTGCAACACTTTCACGCTAAGCAACTTCGCTTAGATAAGTGTGCCGAAATCTGACCTAATCTTAATTGATTGCCATTTGTAGCGGTCTTCGGGCTTAATGGAACACACTGTGGGTGGCCCAATTTCCGCGCTATAAAAGCCATAATCCACGGCCCCCTCTCAGCCTTCGGTTTCCTCTCCTGTTGCTCTGGCACAGTCATTGGGATTGGGGAAAAATCAGTAAAGCATTTAGCTCACTAACAAATTTCTCACATAATTCACAAAACGTCGTAATACGGAAGCCAATTGCAGCAAATTTCACTCGCTGATAAAAAAGTCGCAAAGTAAATTTGGCGCTCAAATTTGAATTTCATGTCCCTTTTATCGGTGCGACTATCTAAGCTCTCTGCCTAGAAGTGGGCATTGTTTTGGACTGGTTGGCTCTAGTTGTTGTTGCTGTTGTTGCTGCTGCTGCATTTGGCCAATTTGGCAGCGGCTAATAACGGTGCTTGGGGCGGCTTGCCTTATTGGGCGGTCGGTCCATTGGATTGATGTGCCAGGCTAAAGCCAATTTTTTGTTTTTGATTTCTGTTGTTGCTTTTCTTTTGCATTTGTTTTTCTTTTTTTCTGTATTTTCGGCTACCGCCAAGTTATAAAATATCGAAAATTATGCTCTTCGACTACCGTTGCTGTCGGTTGTCATCAAAAGCGGCGCCGCAGAGTCAAACGTGGCAACTCTAGCTCCGACTGCAACTGCAACTGTGACTCTGACTCTCTGAGTCTGTGGCTGTGGCTGTGGCTGTGGCACTTAACACCTTTTTGACACACAGCCAACGACGTCAAATGCAAATGAAGATAAATCGCTGCCTCTGATCTTTTTAGCACCTTTTTGCATATATTGCTGGCAACGGGCAACGGGCAACGGGCAACATGTGGCAGGCGGCATGCAACGGGCGGCTGGTGACAGCCGCAAACATGCAACATTTTGTCGCCAGTTGTACGACTGCCTCCTCGCTCACTCGACAGCGACTCCCATTGGCTCTGCCCCACTCGAGCATTCAGCCAGCCATCGAGTCGAACTCAGCCCCAACAACAACAACAACAACAACAGCAGCAACAATTGTTGTTGTCTTAGCGCTAGTATCCCATAATTTTATATGATGTTTGTGACAGGAGCATATCGTAATCTAACAGATTTATATATAGAGTTGTATCTGTTGGGTTTTTAACATGCGAGCAGCTCAAATAAAATTGCAGATATCTTCATATTAATTACAACAACAAATTTAAAAAGTTTTATATTCATGTTGAACTGGATTTTGTATTTTCAAATTAAGTTATATAAACAAATGGCTTGATTATTGTTAGATTGATCTTTCTTTATCTTTATGATAATTGAAAGTTTATATATGTGTGTATGTATATATATATATGTATATATATAATATTTGCTTGTGTCATATTCTGTGATTGATTTGCACACATTAATTACAACAAGAACAAGAGGCCTCTAATGAACCATTCAATGTTTAGCTCAAATTTTGTCCTTGAATGCAGTCAGTTCTTTTCTGAATCAGCGCCAAGTAGGCGCAGATCGTTGACTAATCAACCAAAATTTCGAAGGAATCCCAACTTGAACTGATATATATTTAGAGACAGCTTGAGATGATTCCCAAAAAATGTTGCTTGATTGTTTATTTTTAGCCAAGGTTCCAGATTCAAGGTTTTTCTTCAAGCCAATAAAGCAAGCCTTAAGCATTTCTTAGGAAATGTGTTCTTTAAAGAGCAACGTCTTTTGATTTGAAGGCCTTATAGTTTATTCAGGATTCTTTATCTTTTTAAAAGTTAAGCTTAGTACTTAAATGTTGATCTTAACTGGCTTATAGATAAATGCAGCTGATTCACAACATTGCTTATATTATATTGTAAAAGATCAATGTCTTTTGTGTATAGAGTATTATTATGATTAGATGAATATTAACTAGAATACGTTGCAATTATAGAAAAAAAGTCTTACCTACTTTACAAAAATATTATAATATAATAATAAATAAATTTATCTATATATATTCTCCTCCAGCTGTCCTGTTCAGCCCACCTGCCACGCTTAGCCCTCGCTTAGGAAGCGTATTACGCATTCGCTGTGCAGCAAATGCTTTGGCTAAATCCTGCTGCTCGCTCGACTACTGTCAATAGGTAGCAGCCAGCAGGGGCAAGAGAGGCAGCTGGGCTACGTAGCTCTAGTAGCTGCGGCTAGCCTAGCCAGGCGGCTATTGTTCGGCTCTCGGACCCACTTTGCATATGAGCAGCTCGAACAGCTCGAGCGGGGCACAATCAAAAAAATTATCAGCCTGGGCCACGTTGACGACGTCGACGTCATTGTTGCGCCTGGACAGGCTCTTGGGTTTGCGGATGAGGAAGTTGTGTTGTTGGTTTTTTGTTTGTTTGGGGATTTGAGCTGCATTCGGTGTTTGCATGCTGCCGCGGCGACTATCGGCCGTTGACTATCGGCAGCTTGTCGCGTTGTTATTGTTGTTGTTGTTGGTGTTGCTTTAGGTTTTTTATTTATTTAAATTACGAAATGTTTTGTCAACAATTTGTCGAGTGATTTATATAGAAATATGGTCGTGTGTGTGTTTGTGTGTGAGTTCGAGCATGCCACAGGCTAATCGCGAGGTGCCAGCTATCGACTGACAGGTGCATAAATTGTGCAGTTCAGTTCAGTTCGGCTGAAATCGAAAGTTGAGCCCAGACCCGCTGCTCAGAATGCGCCTGAAAATGAAAGTGAGCGACGTGCATCCATTAAATGTGTGTCAGCTGCAAGCAGCAGACAGAGCACCACATTTGGTGATGGTGGTGCTGCTGCTGCTGCTGTTGGTGCATTGACATCCAACTGCAGCTGTCCATCAGAGAACTTTCGATTTCGATTGCGTAGCTTGTGCCGTACGCTTTCCACATTTGCCGTTTGTTGAACCAACGAACATGCCACAGATCATGTCCAGCTCGCCGACTGCCAGCGCAGGGGGCATGGTCACAAGAAAAACACACATATTTCTGCCAGTGAGTGAGGCCCCTGTGAGTGACACACAATTGCGTTTGCCTTTTCTTCCATTGCATCTGCCTCCATCTCTCTCTCTCTCTCTGTCTTACACTCTATGTGCGTCGTCTCTCTTGCTCTGTCTGTCGGCTCATAGTTCCGTATTTGGTCAAAGATAATGATGTGAAATGCAGCAGCAACAACAACGCAACAACTGCAACAGGAGCATCGACAACAATCACCCACTCAAAAATTGGCAGTTGGCATCTTTATATATATATTTCGGTTTTTGGACATGCATGTAAATGAGTGAAAATATCTGTTGCAACAGAATTTCATTTGGAGTGCAGCTCAGCAATAGAAATACACATAGATGCACCAAGAGAGGATCAAATAGTTGAGAGTAAAAGAACAACAAAAGGAAGCGAGAAACTGTCGGAAAATTAACCATTCGCCCCACTGTCAGCCGCCCATTGAGCCCAGGCGCATGCTCCATTATGATTGCCATGACACACACAGAAGGCTCAGGCCTGACACAAAATAAACAAACTAGCAAGAGAAATAGTTTAGAAATTTGTATTTGATCTAGGAATAGAAAACAGGAAAACAAAAACCGAGAATCAAATACAAAATGGATGACTACGAGGGGGAAGGAGACACTTTCATCGATGCCTCCGGCGTACCTAGGAAGCGGCCCTACGCCAAGCGATTCGACAAGCCCGACTCGGACGAGGAAATTGGCGATGTGACGCAAATATACAATGTGCAGGAGGCGTGGCGGTCGCTGCTCTCACTGCCCACCTGCCAGAAGGTGATGGTCACGTAGGTATCCCATATATAGAGCTGGCTGATGGACAGCTCACCTCACCTCATTTTGCAGCGAGCATGTGCAGAAGACGCTGAAGATCCAGGTCGGGCTGAATGTCACCCAGGAGTTCCCCTGGAAGCAGGTCAAATTTAAGGACTTGCGGGACACGCTCTTCGAAGAGCTGGAGAATTCCGCCGAGTTGCACAGACTGTTCAAGGGCTTCAATCCGGAGCATTTCATTTTGATTGGCTACTGCCCCACACTCACCGAGTCCGATGAGGAGCCGCCGGAGGGCGATCCGTTCATCTTCTATGTGAACAGCAAGGACACCAAGACCGCCATGAGCATCATCCAGAACATGGAGGCCTTCGAGCGCTGGCGCATGCAGCGGCGCCTGCGCAAGAAGCCCCGCCGCTGGGTCAGCCACGGCACCGAGGACGAGATGAGCATCATGGTCGAGCGCTTCAGCGAGCAGCCCGTCGATGTGGAGATCCAGAGCGTTTACCCCATCAAGCAGCCGCGCCACGTCGCCTTCTCCTATCGCATGACGCGCGACGTGCGCGACGGCGTTGTCGAGCTGCTGCCCAAGGAGGAAATCAAGTACGAGACGGTGACCAAGCGTCGCTTGCCCGTGGCCGTCCAGGTGGCGCCGGCCACAAAAAACGTGGAGCAGCAGACAAATCCGACCTTTCCCTCGAACGCCTGGTCGCAATATCTCTATGAAATCGATGATAATGGTGGGTTGATGGTGAAATATAGTCAATGGATGTTTCGTAATCCCTTCCTTATTCAGATCTGGAGCTGGATGAATCGGAAGTGGAGGAGGAGGAGGTACCCGGCAAGCCGGGCACAATGCAGCCAAAGCCCAAGCAGATTCCAGAGATGTCCAGTCATATGCAACTGCTGCTGGAGACACTCGACTTCAATCAGATCGACTGCTATCGGTGGGCGTAGCTCTCTCTTTCTCTCTGTCTCTTTCACATACTCATTCATCGCTCTCTCTCTCATTAGCTACGACTATCAGTTAATCACAAACAGGCAGGTGGTGCACTACACCAATCCGTTTCTGGAGGAGTTCATCTGCTTCGCCAACATCTCGAAGAGCGACAAACGTTTCGTGGCCAGCTGTGATTGGTATCCCAAGCTGTCCGGCCTGGTCGCCGTCTCCTATGCCTTTAGCACTCCGGTCACCATTGAGCTGGCCACGAGTCATGTGAACTTTGTGCAGCGCCAGGTGCTGGAGCCGAATCCTGTGCTGCTCTGGAGCTTTGCCGACAATCTCAACTACAAGCTGGAGTTTGAGGCTCCTTTCGAGATCACCAAGCTCTCGTTCTGCCCCTTTAATGGCGACATTCTGCTGGGCGGCTGCCAGAATGGTCAGCTCGTGCTCTGGGATCTGCAGGGGCGCTGCGAGCACTTGGAGGACGAAGAGTATCTGACGCCCGCCCAGGCCAAGTACCGCACGATGATCGGTGAGTATCTCAACTGGACGCTGGACATAAATGAGGACGTGGTGGTGGCACCGGCCACCATTTCGCCACTGGAGCACTCGCCCACGGGCGCCATCACTGGCATCTACTGGCTGAGCAGGCACTTCTACCTGAACAACTTTGGCAAGGTGTGCAACGATCTGGATAAGCGCGCCAATCACAATTTCTTCGTCACTTGCGCCTTTGATGGAACGGTGAGCTTCTGGAATCTGGATGGCGAGAGCTCCAAGAAGGAGAAGGAGGCCCAGCAGCGCAGCAAGAATCTGCCCAAGGAGCTCACCCAGAACGAATCGCCGCTCAGGACCAAAACCATCAAGCCCACCTATAGCATCTCCTACAGCGAGCCAGTCACCGGCCTCATAGGCGACACCTCGGTCTTCTCCATTCTGACGCCATCCCCGAAGGTCATCAACAAGTCTCCAAACAACTATCCCATTTCGGTTCTGGCCAAGAATCCGCCCGAGCTGCGCCAATCCCTCATCCTGTCCACCTACTACGGCCACATAGTGCGCGTGGACTGGCAGGGCATGTACAGCGAGGCGGGGGCCAAGGAGCAGGTGAATGCCTCCGTTAATTTTGCTATGGTCCACGATGGACCCGTCGTGGCCATGAGCAAGAATCCCTTCTACCCGGAGCTCTTCGCTTCGATAGGCCGCACCGTGTTCGCCCTGTGGAAGGAGGACTACCACGATTCACCCATCATCTGGCGCAAGCGTCCCTGTGATCTCACTGCGGTGGCATGGAGCGAGACGCGTCCCGCTGTCCTGTACATTACACGCCTCGATGGCATTTTAGAGGCCTGGGATATATTGGGTGAGTGGGAGAATATTCGATTTTTGTTTGTCTATTTCCCTCATTCCTTCCTTGACTTCAGCCCGTGACGATGACGCCGTTTTAAGTGAGGTCCTGGGCGGTGGCATCATCACAGCCGTCACCGAGCACCGTCCCTTGCTACCCAACAAGATTCTCGGCATAGGCGACTACAACAGCAGCATACGCATGGTGAAGCTGCCTCACAGCTTCGACGTGCCACTGGACAATGAATTGGCCGTAGGTCTAACTCAATTCACTAGCTTAAAAGTCAGCTAAGCATTCCTGAAACCCCCCAGAAACTGATGAAATATGTGCTGCGGCAAATCACGCGTAAGACGAGCATCGTAGCCTGGGAGCAAAAGTATTACGAGCTGAACAAGGACATCATCGAGGCGAAGCGTGAGGCCGAGGAGGAGCAGCGCAAGGAAATGGAGAAACAGGAGCGCGAAATGCTGAATCCACGCAAACGCGCCTCCGACGCAGATGAGGAACAAACGTAAGTTTGAGTGCATTCAAAATAGAATAAGAGCAATGCTAAGCACGCTGGTGCTCTTGCAGCAAGGTGAAGGGCGGAGCTACCTATAGCGAAAAGATGGCCAAAAAGTTTGATGAGCTCAATTTGCATCGCATGATGACCATCCTAATGTCCCGCAAGCAAATGGACCCCGAGAAGCTAGCGCGTGAGACGGCCCTGGAGAAGGAGCGCCAGATGTACGAAACGGCCAAGAAGGAGTCCTATGCCAAGCTGCTGCAGACTGTCGAGGACGATGTGGCCACCATACGCTCCCGCATCCTGCCCGCCGAGGTGCAGGACATGCAGCGCAGCGAGATGATAGCGGAGCGCGTTAAGAACGAAATGGCCGCCGCCGAGTCCTATGAGACCATCTGTGCGCAAGCACAGAGGAAGCTGAAAAAGTTCCCAGAACTGAAGTCCATTGACTATATTGAGCTGCTCGAGCGCGGAATGCATCGGCGCAAGCTATTGGATCAATCGCTGGGCGGGAATACCGAACGTCTGCTGTGGTACCAGGAGAAGCTGCGCGACAATCAGATATTTGAATGTGATTTTGGAACGGATCTGCTGTACAACAGGCGCAAATTGGGTCCAAAGCCAAAGGTAGAGCCTGTAATCGAGGTAGAAACACCGTCTGAGGAAGTGGACAAAGGAGAGGAAGAACAAGAAGAACAAGATTAAGCATATTTTGACTCAATAAAGGACTATAATAACGAGCAAATAGATCTATTAATAATATATAATGTATATGAATAATGTATTAAAGGATATGTGACAATGACAATGACTATGATAATGACAATGTCAATGATATTGATAATGATAATGAAAATGTCAATGATATTGATACTGATCATGAAATTGACAATGACAAGCACATGACATTTTCAGAGTGAACGGTAAACTATCTATATGTAATACAAAATACTTCATAGGCCTATTCTATCACATCCCCATCTCTAAATCTATAGCCAATAATCAGAAATGCATGACTAATAAATTAGACTCAAATGGCTTTATATTTAATGTCTTACGGTTTAATCCATTCACTGACAAACCTTTGGTAAATGAAACCCTAACTAAATGTTTGTGTATGGCGCTTGAATGATTATTTAAATATTATGAATTACCTGCCAAATGCTCATTAAAAACAATTCAATCGCTTTGCTTTGTTCACCTATGGCCATTGCCAATGCCATTGCCAAAATAGACAAACAGAGAGGGAAACATGCGTTAATTAAACGTGCATTGAACCTTGACGTCGCACTTCCGCTCCAGAGCTGCCAGAGTTCAAGTATACGACATTTCTAAGCGACGCACAAATGAAGTCATCTCGGGACCGAGGCGTGTCATAGGTTTAATGAACTGAGCCACCGACCGCAGCAGACAGCGCCAGCCACAGTCGCGCGCGGCGAGCGATAGCCACCGCAACCGCAGTCGCTTTCCCACGACTCCGTCGGTTCGACTGCCTGGCTGGGCCATAATGCACATATCACTGGACACAGCTCACTCAGCTGAGTGCAGCCCATTGATCAGGTAAATGGGATTGGACAGTCGACAGTCCATCATTTTCGCAAGCACATAATGATATACATTTCGGAAGCAATGCATCTGAACTTTACCATAATTTTGCGACCATTATTATTGGCAACGACTCGTGGTCGATGGTTGAGTGGCTGCTTTGCCGCCGGCCGCACTTTATTGTTGCATCATCATCATCAGCATCAGCAACCTCATCATCATCATCGGCATCAGCATCAGCATCAACGTCATCATCGTCGTCATTCAGTGACCACCTGTTGTCCTTAAAGCGCAAAGCGATAAATATAAAGTGAATTCAACTTGGCTTTTTTGATGCACTTTTTATCTTACAGTTTCCTTTAAAATACCCTGGAAAGCGGGCGTAAGGGTACATTAGTTTGTTTACTACACTTTTGTGTCCATTATGTAAAAGTCTGCTTAATGTGTTTTCGGTTAGAGTATATCATCCAAATAGCCTATATTTAAAAGGCTATATAGAATACAGAATTTCTTTCTAAGGAATACCCCTCATATAAAATGTATTAAAATATATATAAATAACAGCTATAAATTTATTCTCTTCTGTAAGATCTTTCTTACTTTCTACAGGGTATTACACAGCCAACTCATCCGCTACCTTTCTGCAAATTTTTTTCTTTTTCAATATTTATTCATAAAGAGATTTTTGGACAGCATTGCGTGAGGCGCTGCTCGCAAACTTCGACTGGCTCTGAGTGAATTTTCCCGATTTACATAACAATTGGCCTTTGGATTTCGCAATTGGGGAACGTGGCTGGGGTAGATGGGGCTACGTCTGGGGCAAGTGCCACAGTGTGGCTGGCCACATTAAAAACGTTTTTGTGGCCATTTAAAATAATTTACGATCCTATGCAAAAGAAGCTGCAAGAAAACTTGGCTCGATGCATTTTTCGCCGTGACTTGGCATAAATTGTCGCACTGTCCCGAAATTAAGCATGCAAATCGATTATTTACGCCCATTGTACGCAAAGCGAAGCTGTGATGGGGCCACTAAGTGGGTTCGAATACCGTTTAACTGCACAATCAAAGTGATCCTACTCATAAAAGACCCATAAAATACAATACCGATTAAATTTGGGTTCAGCTTCAGGGTTAAGAAAATAATTTAATATTTAATATAAAATGAATTTTTAATATTTAATATTTTTTATATATTTAATTGTTTAATTTTTTATTTAAAGGGATTTTTTTTTTTGTATGTTTATTTAGCTTTATACATTTTTTACATTTTTTGTTAAATATATTTTTTATTTTTAACTAAAATAATTTTTTTTTTTACTTTTACTTTGCGTAGCTAAACTCAAAAGTTCAAGACTTTAAAATTACCCAAAAGTTCAGTCCAATATACTCTAAAAGTTATCAGGGTTACGAAACTTTATCCGTTTGCTGCGCGTTGTGGAAAGGCCTCATGAGGCATTCCCAGCATAAAATTTTAAAAACATCTCTAGCAACAAGAAATTTGGAATGGGTGGAATGATATATGAATAATGAAATCAAATCAAACGAAAACTAAGCCAACTCCAGGCTGATTTCTTCGAGGCGCTGCAGCAGCTGTTTGCAGGATTCGCGCTCCTCGTTGCCGCAAGAGCTGCTCGGTTTGGCCAGTTCCATGAGCAGCTCCAAGATGCCAACGAGCAGCCCATTGAACTCCTGCTCATACTCGGCCAGGCTGGCGTCAAAGTCCTGCTCGTTAACCTGGCGCTCCAGCAACTGTTTGTAGTTGAGACAGAGCTGGCCCAGCGTAAAGAGGGAGCGCACAAAGGTCACCGACTCGGAGAGCAAGCACATCACCTGACAGCTGTCCAGAGTCTCCTGGAACAGGCTGATCAGCTCGTCCACAAACTGTGCCTTCGGCACATCGTCGAGCAGGGCTTGCCAGCGCGGCTTTATAACGTCGTGGGTCATGTGCTGCTCCAGGTGCAGGATGCACTGCAGCATGCGCTTATGCAGCGCCTCGGCACGATCGCCCTTGCTGCTGGTTGACTGCAGCTTGCGCTGCACGTAGTGCAGATAGAAGAGCACGCGATGCATCAGCTGCAGCTGCTCCAGCGGCTCCTCGTACAGGATCAGGCTGATGGGCCACTGGGGCTCATAGCGCAGCGTGAGCGCTTCGTAGCCGTAGAGCGAGAGCTGCTCTGGCATTCGACTGCTATCGTCCGCCTCGCTGGACAGCTCAAATTCAGCTGATGGCTGATACGCCAGCTGCTTCTGCTTCACTTGCTCTGGCTGCTTCACTTCTTCCAGCTGCTTCATTGCTTCCGGCTGCTCCGCTGGCAGCACCAGTTCCTCCGGCTCAGTCAGCTCCATTTGATCCGTCAGCTCCATTGTGTCCGACAGCTCTGCCTGCCCCAACTGCTTAGCTTGCTCCGCCTGCTCTGCCTTCGCCTCTTCTTCAGTCTCGTTCCCTTCTTGCCTTCCAGCCTTAATGCGCTTCATGCGTCTGGTCAGCTGCGTGGTCACATCGCAGTCCATTAGCTGACTGCGCAGCAGATGCTTGAACGGATCTGAGCTGTACTGCAGCAGTCTGAGCGTAATCTTCTGCAGTTTCTCTGGCCTCAGATCGTCCACGTTGCACTCCAGCTGGTCCGCGTAGTACTCCATCAGCGCCTCATTGAAGTCCAGCTGCTGCAGCAGGAAATATGCCTGCAGATTATCGAGATGCTGCAGCAGATTCTGCTCCTGCACCAAGACCTCGTACAGCTTGTGAGCGGGCAGCTCATAGCTGCTGTGGATCAGCTCCACGTGCGACTGGTTGCCGGGCACAAAGCTGAGCGAGGCCTGCATCAGCTTCATCTGCACGTTGCACTGCCGCAGGACGTTCAGGTACTTTCCCGCCAGGAAGATGCACTCCGCTTCCGGCTCCAGGAAGCTGGGCAGCCGACTCATGTAGATGCAATAACGATTCATCCAGTAGGCGTGGCAGCATTGCTTGGGCGACAGCGACGTGCTGCTCATATCACCCGGACTGGTATCCTCAATGAAGAACTCCCTGCGCACATCGTAGAGCACGCCCTTCTGCGTCCACAGCTGCACCATCTTCATGTAGTAGTGGGAGACATCGGTGAGCAGCAGCTTTAGCCTTTCGCACTTGAAGTGCTCCTGATGCTCGTCAATCAGCGTCAGCATCTGGGCGCTGTTCAGCTTCAGGGAGCGCACTCGACTGGTCAAGTTGGCCAAGGATTGCATGGTGACCAGCCAGGGACGGAGGCGCTGCACCAGCTGGTGCAGATCCAGCTTCTTCTCCTGCAGCTGCGTCTCCAGCCCCGACTGCACATCGAAATACTGCTGCATGGTCTGCTGCAGAGCCAAGGCCAGGGAACGGCCGCATCCCGTCGACATAGTGGCATCCTCAATGAAGCTCTGCACTGTGATATAGTAGCCGATCAGGGGCAGCAGCTCGGTGGCCAGGGTGCGAAAGGCGCCACTGAAGTTCTCGTTGATCTTGAAGCGCACCTTTTCGACCTGATTGGCGCGCACCTTCGTGATCTGCTCGATGGGTAAATCGGGGCGAATGTGGGTGGAGGGCACGCCCGAAAAGGCGTAGATTAGATCGCGTATGAGAAGTTCCTCCTGCCGTTTCAGCGATAGCTTCGTAACATCCTCGGTAGGCATATAGAAGCCGCCCACGCTCTCAAACACCCAGCAGCCCATTTTACGCTTAAATCTACCCGGCTCACCTGCTCCCTCATCTTTCGCCGAGTCCCGCTGCTCCGAATCGCCCAACGAAGGCTCGTCCCCAGTTTTGCTCGAACGGAAAGTGCTTTGCGTTGCATTAGTCTCTGGTATCTTCAAATCCATCATGGATCAAGTTATAGATACATATATGTATGTTGTATAAAATATAGTTGGACAGTGTTGAATATACAGCAAATGTGAGGGAGTACTGGCTTGAATTCCTTTGTTTGGAAGTAGGATAGTGTAGTTTTTACATCAATTTGGATACTAAAAATTAAATTTCTATGATATGTAGATTTTGAAAATGAACTTTGAATAAAATATTTCCTAGTAGTGAGGCTATGCTTAGGGATATTAATACAATAGTTAACTTCCTGGGTCTTAAGCTATAATAAGCCTTGAATTAAAAATCCCCTTATCATATTCGAAAACACATGTGCCTAATGGTTTTATAGACTCGATGGCATTTACGACATAAGTTATACTCCTTAGCATTCAGATATACATATAAAGATAATCACAAATATAATAGCAATTGATTATATATACATTCGATGATATAAGGCTAATGCCTAAATGTCATGCGATCTATGCAACAGCTTCGGGCCGTGCCAGGCTTTGCCGCCACTTATGAATGAAACCGGCGTCGCACTTCATTCAGCTAAATTCGCAAAACAACAACAACAACAACAGCAAAATGTATTCATTTTGCAAGTGGCACGTACCTGCTGCAGTGTCCGCCGTACCCAGCGGCGACATCTTCGACGCAGACGCCGTTGCATCCGCACAGGTGGTTTTTGCATTTGGATACCAAATGCGAGTCACCTCTGTACGTACATACGTGAGCGAGGGCCAGCAACGTGTTGAGAATTTTCCACAAAACAAAACACATATAAAATCACAGCCCTGGGAAAGAGCCTGATGCACTTTCTTCATAAATAATCAAATAATGTATGTATGGCTGTGTATGTAGCACACGATGCATGGCCTAACTATGAGAGAATTTTTATATTTATGGGCTTTGTCGCGTGAGTGCCACTGTAGTTGTTGTTGCCGTTTCTGTAGCTGTTGTTGTTATTGTTCTCGTTGTCTGGCTGTTCTCATTCTAAACAATGCAACGTCAGCGTCGACGTCGTCGTCGACAGCAACATTAGCATAAATAAATAAATAACCGTAATAACAGCGAGACCAACAACGTCAGCGCTAAAGTGCATAGGCAACGCGAGCAAGTAAATAACAACAACAAGAATTAGTATAAGAAAGAGCAATAAAGCTTTTTCGGCTTCTGTTGCGTTTCGGTGGCTCTTCTTGTTCACACAGTCCATCGGACATGCACGCCAAGCTTTAGTTTTCGTTCTCTTCCATGGGCGCTCTCTCTCTTTCCCTCTCTGGTTTTCTAAATACGTTTTGACACGCGGCAGTAGCTATAAAGCACCCACACGTGCTCAAAGCACTGTGGTGCCATGTGAAAACTTACATACATACATACATATGTATAAAGGGAGTGCAAACAAATAAATTTATCAAATAAATAAAAAATATACGTTCAATTTATGTGTAGTGCAAAGTGCTAGTTTTTATCAATATAAAATGTATATTACATCTCAACCACTGTGCTGAGCCCTATTACAAAAACAATTTCTTAGCAACAACAAAAAGCTCCACTAGCCTGCATGTACTTAAATATGGCTTTTGTTGCCGTTACGGACAATCAAATTGAGTGCAAAGCTCAATTTCAGTTTCGGCAGCAGCAGCAGCAGCAGCGACAGCGGCCGCGGCCTAGAGAAGGGCAGGGCTTAGCTGAGCGGCCAGCAGCAGCGACGGCGACGTCAACAGCGAAGCCGGCTTTGAAGTGCGATGTGCTCTGACTGCAAAAAAGTGCCGTTTAAGGTTTCGGGGTTTTTTTTGTAGCTGTTGCTTATTGCATTATTTATACGCGCTCGCATTTACTTTCTTGAGCGGGCACACACACGCACATACTCTCGCTCACTCACGCGTCACCTATAAACAAAGCGCACACACAGAGACAGCCAACAACAACAGCAATGGGGTGTCGCATTGGTGACAATTTGCGCCTACTGCAACAACACTCTCGGTCTCAGCCTAAGCCGCTCTCGCAGTTAGCGACGTCGCAGCCGACGCCGTCGTCGCAGCGGCAAATGCGGCCGCATTCTCAGTCAAACAACAAACGTAACTGAAGTAACAACGGTGTCCGCGGCCAATAATATTTAATACACCTCGCTCCCCCCTCTACTTTAAAAAATACTAGTGCTATAAATGAATCAACGAAAAGTGATTTAAAGGCGTGCAAAACAAAAATATTGTGTGCAAAAATCAAGAATAAGAAGAAGTCAAAGCATTGCTGAAAGAGCGCCAAGTGCAGGCGACTGGAAGTGTTTCTGTCTCTGTCGCTCGACTTGAAAGTGATGAAATTGTTGTTGCTGCATTTAGGCAGCAAGTGTTGTGCTTAATGTTGCGTCTGCCAACGCGTGAGCAGTGCGTCGAGTGGCTGCAGTTTATCTTTTTGCTGATCCTGCACATCTGGAACGCTTTCAGCATGTCGCTAACGCGCAGCCGTCAAACGACGCTCAAGTGGATTAAGAAGCGTTTGACGCTGCCGCGTCGACGTCAGCAGCAGCAGCAGCAGAGACAACGGGTAAGCGTCCTGAGTGCCGTTCAAAAGCGGGTCAACTATTTATTCAACCCCTTTGACTTAGCTTTACTCAACTAATTGATTTTCGTCTAATGTTGAATTTCTCTGGAATTCAATTAAAGCCAATAATTGGTGGTTTAATTTTGCGGTAAATTTTGTTTTTCCTGCGTATTTGAGGGCAGGGTTCGAACTTTTGCATTGGCGTGACTTGCAACAATTTCTCCATCAGGTTTGCCCCCAGGCTCAACCCCCGTTTCACCGTTACCGTGACGTAGTTGCCAACTGTCTGCCGCTTTGTTCCGTTTCCGTTGCCGTTTGCTAAACACTCTAGCCTAACGGTAGGTGTGTCCACCAGCCTAGCCCTGAGCCGCATTGCCGTTGCCGTAGCTGTTGCTCCTGTTGTTGTTGTTGTTGCTGTTTTTGTTGCTATTTTGCATGTCTGGCCTGTCTTCGAGTTGAGCGATTATCGCTGTCAGCTTGTATAACAGTTCTGCTCGCCATTTGAGTCGTTATCAATTTCGAACACTTTTCGCTGCATTGTTAGAAATCAAAATTTATGCGAATTTTTATGAAAGTTCCTGATGAGTTTCTTTGTTTTGTTGTATTTGCAATGAAATTTTTGGCAATTTCGAAACAGTTTTGGGGCGTACTGCTGTAACCACTCTATATTGCAGGCATAACACGTATAATGGAGAGTATGACAGACGCCGTGAGCATAGCAAAGAGTTTTCTTTTGCACGAAATTTGTCAGAGTTAGAGATACACTGTTTCGCGAGTGTCAAAATGGGCATATTAGCTTTGCAGTTATAGTAAATATATATTTGTTATACTTGTTATACATGTGGCTAGTCTATCTCAACTTCATAAACATCCATATGTGCATATCACATAATGCCAATTTTTCAATCAGTTTTCTAAAGTACTTCAAGTTACATATGATATCATTGTTAGGTGAAAATTTATTTCAAGCGAATTAGTATAGTTTATGTAATTAAAAAAAAAAAAGCTACTGACATCATAAGTTGACTCACAATTATATTAGCTAACGGCTGCCGGAAATGCACTTTTAATGAGTTAAGATCACAATAGAACACGATTAGTTGAAAGATGGAATAATATATTTAAGAGAATTTATGGGGTAATTACGAGCTAGGTATTAGATGATTAATAGTGACTTTGTGTTTAATCGCCCATAACAACAAATATTTAAGCTATATTCGTTCATGCATATGTAGTTCGTACAAAGGAAGGTTTAACTGTGATTCTCTATAACTAGACACGTTATCTATAGTTGTGCACACGTATTCATTTCGCCTGCCAAATGTTTTATTTATAGCACATTTTAAAGACACCTTCGTTCGAAGTATTTCTCGTCGGTTGAAATCAAAACAAAATATTTATTCGCTTCGCGCAAATGTTTATTTCTCAGCACTTAAACTCAGCTTGCAGTAAACAAAAATCGCATGTTCCGATAATCGAAATCGCATCAGAAACCATGGTGCCATGGAACCATTTCGTATAGCCGCAAACAAAGGGCCTGTCAGCTAGCTAGACAGACGATTATACGCGTATGGTGCATGGAAAGTGTGGAAAGTATCCGAGTTTTTAGCCAAGTTCAAGGCGCTCTATGAGCGCTTGCCACTTCGCAATTATGGCTAACAATGTCTATCGGGCAGCTGGAGGGGGCGGGGCAAAAGGGAGAGGCAAATAAAGCAAACAATGCGATGGGGAGCATTAAACACAGAGAATTTCTGTCGCCCCTTCTGAGCATGGCACACACACACACACACACAAAACAGTCGAACAATAAAAGAATACCCTAGCCCTTGTGCGCAGCAAATGTGGGTGTGTTGTTTTGAAAGCTATATATCAGAAAATACACTCTGCTACAAATTCAAGAGAGCAGTCTAATGGAGCGAAAAAGGAATTAATAGTTCATTATAATCTAAATAAAATATTTATTAATATATATAAAATGATCTTAAATTCACGACTTCAAAACATTATGCTTGCTGAAGCATATCGGGCATATAAGAAAATGTTGAGACTGGACCTACTTAAGTTATAAAAGAGCTACAATATTAGTTGTACAAATCCATAGTCAGAAGACAAATTTATAAAAAAGAATTTATAAAAAAAAAAATATTTTCAAGCAAAAAAAAAATTATTAAAAATAAAAAAAAGTTTTAAAAATAAAAAAATTTAAGAATTTTAATCAAATATAAAATTTGTATAGTTAAAAAAATGTCTATAGAATTTTTTGTAATTGAAAAACATTATTATCAAAAAAAAAAAAAAAAATTTAATATTATTTATTTTTAATCAAAAATAAAATATATATACAATTAAAAAAAAAAACATATTAACTTGCGGCATACTGTATTTCTATATAGAATTTGATTGACTCGCATTCAATCAATTCAAGAGCGAATCGGCGATTCATTCGCACAGCGGATTCACATTGAAAATCATTCGCACGCATGGAAAATCATTCAAGCT